AATTGGCAGGGTTGAGCGAATTCCAAGTTCCTTTGTAAGTAAGCTTTTGTATTTAACCTGTAACATTTGTGCTACAAGCATGATATATGTATGAATTCATTTCTAAGATGCAAATTTTCAAGATTTTACTTTTGGTATGAGAAAGATATGGTTTTATAGTATGAAAATGACACGAACGCAAAGGGAGTAAAATCGCTGTAGTTTTTGGAGTATACTTTAAAAACCAGCATAGATGAAACATGATGAAGTCTACTTTTGAAAAACCAGCATAGATGAAGCAGGATGAGCATACCGGAATCTATTCCGATTAAACATGGAATATGATAAATGATGATCATTTTCAACATAAATGCTGGAATTGTAACAAATGCAGCTGTTAATCTGATGCTTACATTGCACTGGAAAATGAGTTGAGAATTACAGAGTTTATGTGATGAACTTAAAGTAGTTTAAGCAAAGAATTTACAACAGGCTTCTCTGCCCGATAGCTTCGAATCAAATACTCTGAAAGTATCCACAATTTACTGCCATTACGGACATGTTTCCTATATAAAATGAATAGTACCAAAATATCTGCTACTATAACAGAATTTACTGCCCAGAATTAGCAGGAACAAACTTGAGTGATATGCTATTGACACAATGGTGTTCGTACATGGGCGTTCGAAACCCTTCACCTTTAAATACATGGCCTAAATGCCCACCGCAAGCTGCACAAGTAATCTCAATCCTCATCCCATCTGGGTCCGGCTGTTAAACGAAACACTCTCACCATTAATGAAATTTACTTAAAAGATACAACAATTTTAAGATGGTACGAAGAAAACACTAGAATATATAGAAGAAAATTATAAAGAGAGCACAGAAACGGATGAAGGAAGCTCACATTACGATTAATGGCTCCAGGGAGACCTTTATAGAAAGCAGGCCAACCACACCCAGAATTGAATTTCGTTGCAGATCTGTAGAGCGGAGTACCACATCCTGCACATTTATAAACACCCTCACCAAAGAACTTATCATATTCTCCGGTGCCTGGATACCTATACAGCATCAAAATATTGCTATGAATTTATCAACGAATCTGACTAGAGCTATGTTGCTCGGACTCTTCATTTTCCATGAAGCACCCGTGTCCCACACTTGGATATGGTATATGAACTTAAGATCCTTAAATAAATGGAAAAACTTGGGAAAAAAATCTAACCATACAAGTGTACGATACATACCCAAATCCGACACATATGCCACAACTTTGAATGAACTTCCTAGAAGCTATTCTATGGATAAAACAACTAAAAGAAGAGATTTTTGCACATTGAAAGCTCAAAATTCTCCAAATGTATATTCTCCATGTAATCTATACAATAAAAGTTCAAAATTTTTACAATTTTCCATAGAAAGGTTATAATCAACACTGTCAATTCCTTAAAAATAAAACTTATTCGGTGCCCTTTTGTCTCAAAATTCGAAACTGCTCGGGGGAGAGAATAGCACGCCACTCTTCGTCAGATTTCTGGACCGACCTAGAACCAGCCATAGCCACGACCACGCTCCCACCGTACCTACGCTTGCTTTGGTGGAGGAACCTTCTGGACCCAAATGAAGAAATGGAGAAAGTAATGACCTTTGGCAAAGAAAATGGAAATCTCATGCCAGTATTACTAGGAACAACAGAATTAGAACCGATACATCTAGCAAGAGTGGTGGTGGTACATAGTACAGCTTTGGAGGAGGCAGAAGAGAAGGGTGTCGTTTAAAGTAGGGGCGAGCGTTTGACTCGTTAAATTTCGAGTTATTTTAGGAGTATTATTATACAATTTGAATTTGATTTAAATTTTTTGAGTTAAGTCGAGTTTAAAAAAATTAAGTCGAGTCGATTTTTTATTTGATTTCAATTTAAGTGATTTTCTATAGCCCTATATACAATACAAATATATTTCTTTATATTTTTTCATATGTAATATACGTATATCATATAAAGTTCAAGGACTCAACTCAAACTTGAAAATAAATCCACTAATTACTAAAAATTGCAAGTTATTCGAGTTGCATTTTACAATTCAATTTGAACTTGAAAATTTTTTAGTCGAATTTATGAAATTGCAACTCGAAGTCAATTTGAGTCGAGTTTTTTCTAGTTGAATCGAGTCGAAAATTTGATTTTTCGAGTCGAATCGAGTTTTGCTCACCCCTAGTTTTAAGGATACGAAGCCCCATCCAAGAGTGATTTCCAGTTTTTTCACGAATAAAAGTAGGGTTGTAAATGAGACGAGACAAATCGCGAGCTACTTGAGATCGACTCGGTTAAAGCTCGATAAATACTAGACTCAAATAGGCTCGACTCGAGTTCGAGCTCAACCGGAGTTCTTAACGAGCCGAAACAAGCTACTTGATACTCGACTCGAAAAACTCATGAGCAGCTCGAAAATATAATATATTAAGATTTTATTTTTTAAATAAATTATTAATAATATTAACATTTATTTGTTTATTTTCTATAAAAATTGTAGTATAAGATTTTCATGTGATTCATATTCGAGTTTGAATTTGATACTTTAATCGAGTTAAGCTTTAATTTTTTTTCCTTTTCGAGCCTTTACAAGCTTCAGTTCATGATTTCGAGTTCGAATCAAGCTTAAAAATTTCAAACTCGCTAGTTTTCGAGTCGAATCAAACTCTATTTCAGAATTTTCGAGTTGAGTTCGATTTGGGTCTATAACCCTAAATAAAAGGTAGATAATGCGAAGCCAATCAAAGGAAATCATTGATAGGTAAACAACACAAATAGTCACTAATGTTTAAGTACATTTTTGTTTTCTCCACTAAAATTTCACAAGTAACAAATTAATCACTAATATTATCGATTTATAACAAATCGGTCACTCGTGTTAACAGTTGTTACTACAGTAACATAATGATTACGTGTCACGTTAAATCAACTGATTGAACATGTTTGACTCTTCTTCTTCAATAAAAATAAATAAATAAATATTCATTTTCCATTCAAATTCAAAACTTACACGTGATTCGTTGTTGTAAAGAGAAAAAAAGTGGAAAAGCGCAGGTAAATTATAGCATGGTGTCAATGATGCTATAGGAAATGGGGTTAATAATGGCTCTGATGCTTAGAAACTATATTCCATTTTTTCTTTTTCTTTTTGATATAAATATTAAAGTTAAGCCAGTTTACCCTATTTATGTATGAGATTTTCAGAGGGAATTTAGAAATAGAAATTATTCTATTAATATATATTTTTTATTTGTTCATTATAATTATAGTGTTTCTAAAATGAATATAAAGCACATTCTAGCTGCAATTTCGGATATGAGCAATAAAACATACATAGAATAATGCATATGCTACATTACATTACTGATTATTCTGAGAAGTTAAAACAACTTATACTCTGGATTACAACTTTAGTTCAGTTTTTAGGTTAGCATCGGAAAGACAACAGCCTACGAGAGAGTTCTAGGCTAATGGCGTAACTAAAAATTATTCCGACCATAAACAAGCAAACTACCTTCAAAACTTAGAATCTAAAGATGTCCGAACAAACAAGTAGAAAAGAGAAAGGTCTTCTCTGTCTGTTCTACTATCAGATATAATTGAAAAATATGGAAGTCCTACATCCCCTGTGAGAAACAAGAACGAATCATTCTATCAAAAAGCACAGTTAACGCGTTACAAAAAATCTGCATAAAAATGACCGACCAAGTTTAAATGCATTATATGATAATGAACTTATTCACAGTTATACCAACCAGTCAACACTAGCATCAGGAACCGGAGTTAGAATTTCAACTTGAGGGGGTCAAAGTATAACTTTTCTAAAATTGGGGGACAATTTCATAATTATCCCATAAATATTTAAATTATATATATAAACTAAAGGTAAAAAAACAAATTTTCAGCTGAGTTGGGGGGCCATAGCCCCTCCCAAGCCCGTAGTGGCTCTGTCCCTGACTAGCATATCTATATTGGAGCCCAAAGATTTTAGGATTGCATAAATAAATGTTGACGTAGTAGCGAGTCATGTATCCCCATCACATATGCTTTCGCATTCGATAAACTCGTGAAAATTGGCATCACATGATAACACCATTGAATTTGATGGATCCTGAAAACAAGAGGGGAGAACTCTTAGGAGCTTGATACGGACGCTAGAGAAATAGCCAAGTATTTAAGCTGTTAGAGTGAGACTTGAGTCTAATGGGAAGAATCGTATAACCTCGATGATCATGTCATGAGTAATGGAAGGACCTTCTTCTTATATAAATCTATTGAACAAGACTTCTCCGATACATACATTGTACGTTTTGAGCTATGAATAGCGAAATGGGTTTTTAAGAAGAAGAATACGTACATGGTCAGCTTAAGAAGAAGAAGAAGAAAAGGAGGGAAAAGAAGAAGAAGAAGAGTCAAACGTGTAGAATCAGTTGATTTAACATATCATGTCATCATTCTGTTACTACAATAACGGCTGTTAACAATGAGTGACCATAAATCGATAACATTAGTGATCAACTTATTACTTTTGAAACTTCAGTAACGAAAACTTACTCAAACATTAATGATTATTTGTATAATTTACCCACATTATTAAATGGGAGGATCCAGAAAGTATTACAGGGTAGCCACCAGGCCCATCCAACAAGGTTTTGGGGCCTCTTTGTTTTGGGGCATAAATCCCTTCGTATCGTTTAGTGGCTTGTGGACCGTCAACTAAAATATATTTTTAACATATTTTAATATAAGACCAAATCTTGTATTTTGATGATTGAATCAAGTTACTGCGAAAGCCCGACGGATTGCATTATTATTTTAGTACTCATATACAAAACGGGAGGGTAACTGAATTATTTTATTCCGGCCTTACAAAGGGACTATCCATGGCGTGCTTCGAAACCACCGAGTCAACCAGGACATGGTGTTACATAACATTCATATCAAACAGTATCATTACGATGAACTAAACCAGGACCGGTGCCTTCAATCAAGCAGACAAAGACACCCATACAAGATTGTCCGGCGGGAAGAAATGGCACGCCTGGCCCGATCCAGGCTCGATTTTGAGCAAACGAAATGACACATGATCGAGGTCCCATTGTGAGGTATCCATGTGACAAGCAGCAATAGCTTTCACCTTATCTCCATTCTCAGCACCTAGTGAAATCCGAAACAGCCTGGTTTCACTCTTTTGGGTGTGACAATAAAACACGGCATAAGGATATGACAAAGTATGGAATGTAATCATTCTAGAGAAAGGGATACGTTCGGGAATGTCAGAAATCGTGTAGTTCTGTAAAGGAACAGTCGGCTTTCGGAGCAACGTCGTAATTAAAACTTTAATCTTCGTGTTCAAGCCGAGCAAAGAACGAGCATAGTCGAGCATTGATTCCAGGGAGGTGGCGCAGAACCTTAGCTCACCTTTTGTTATCGGATCCGTAATGTTATCCTTTGATTTTGCAAAATCAATAGTGATAACTTCATTTGAGATCAGTTGTCTAATGATATTGTGTCGACAGCTTATATGTCTCGATTTACCATTATATATGAAATTTTGTGCTCTAGTAATTAGTAATTGTAGCTTGGTTGTCACAATATATACATATTGTGGGCACATGTTTTGACCATTCTAGAATATACTCAAGAAAATTCTAAAGCTATTATGCTTCTTGTCCAGATTTGTCTCGAGTTACAAACTCAGATTCTATTATGGATCTAGTTATTATTGTTTGTCTTTAGGATTTCCAAGACACACTCCTTCTAAAGTGAATACATATTCACTTGTACCTTTGGTATCTTGAATATAAGATATTCAGCTGGCATCAGATTAAATTCATATATTAAAAGATATTTAGTTGGAGAAACTCTCTCTCGAAATTCCCCTATAAATACTGAACAAATCTCTCAGTTTTTTTCTAACTCATAATTCAAGAAGTTTTTTCTCTTGAAAATATTTTCTCTCATTCTCAGAAAATATCCCTTTTTTCCTTAGTTTTTCGGTGATAGTTGAAGGCAAGGAAAGTTCGTGATTTGTACTGTTGTGCTATCGTAGCTGATCATCTAGTTGTTGTATCCTAGGAGACAAACTATCAAAGAATCTCGAGCACCAAGGAGTAGCCGAAAGTTTATCTTAAGGAAACTGTGTAACAACAGGCCTCAACTGATTTCGATCTCAGGATCAAAATACAGAGTATTTTATTTTCAGTAATTTTCTTTTATTTTTTTAAAGAATTTGATTATTTCTTTTACTTTTCTGAAGTTCCAATTAATCTCATATTGTTACTTTCGGATGATGGTGGGTTGAATTAAAATCTGCAGAAGAGTTATATAACAATGGGGTGCCCTAGTGCAGAACGTACCTTGTCAGGTACAGAATGAACATATGCATGAAATATTGTTCATTTCTTCATTGCAATGATTAAAACTAGCATATTGCTATTGAACAAGAGAGCTGATGGTCCATTGAAATTCTTATGGAGGAGATTCATTTCTCTTTGATATTTGACTATATAATATATCAGATCATACCAGATCCATATCTGCAATTTCATAAGTTTTTATTTGTCTGTTTTTTATACAAAAGTTACAGATGTTGAAATTCAAATCCCGAATTAAATATTAAACTATATAACCACAGATTTTGCGCATAGTATAATAAAATATCATCCACATAACATGGAAAACAGGTACCCTTTTTTTTTCCTAAAGTTGACAGTGTGAATGATTGACCTTTCTTTAGACCCCAATGAAAGTGATTTTATCACTCCCCAACACAAAAGCAACCAATAGAACATTGACTAATGGGGTTAAGTAAAACTTCAAGGAACTTCATTAAAGCTGCTCACAGTGCTTTTAGAGTATGTGACTCAAATTCTGTTTTCTCCCGATTATCTTAACAGTACTGTGTTTATTTGATTTTTTTTTGGTTGGACATATAGTTTACAAATCTGATCCATGCAAGAAAAGAACCAGGGGGCTGCTGGAGAAGTGTGATGGAGGATCAACCAATGCCGGAAGCAATCAAAGGGCTATTACATGAAGACCCGTCAGTTTCTGGGAAGAAAGTGAAGCAGTTTGTCAAAGATTTCGACAGTAGGCATAGCCTGATACTATACCACAACAGGCCCGAGTCTAAGCAACAAGACAAGACATATGCAAAGGATGTGAAGGATGGGAACAACATGAATCTGATATAAAAAAAACTAGGCAGCTTTTCATATTTGTCTGATATGTGTGTATGCAGCTGATAGTCCGCTTGGTGGTTGTGATTAGTATTTTTAGAGTTTAGACAATCAGAAACACTAGCTTCTTCTGTTGGGGAATAAACATCCATCATTTTATTAGTTATTTTTCAATCTTTTATCATGAGCCTAGTTTCAAGCTTTAGCTACTAATGAAAACTTACTGCATCAGTCTATGAAAAAGGCTAATTCAAGCAAATTGAAATCTATTCAACTACTGTTAAATAGATTAAATAAAATTTACTGCATGTTATTTGCTGTCAAGTTTTGGGCCTCATATACCAAATACTGGGCTATACCAGGCTTTAGTTCTTCTAACAAGAGGCCTACATTTTATCCAAAGCTTGCCTTTTAATCATGGCCAAAAGGCCCAGAATATTACTAGTTTGCGTGCTTTGGTCACTTATGATCTGTTCTATTAAGCAATTTTTTCTATAATTTGTGGTACGATAAATCTAGGATTAAATAAACGAAAGAGTAAATATATATCACTTTAAATGAGAAATATTATAAAAAAAAGAAAATTTTTACTAATTATATATAATTCTAAAATTTTAGTTTTATATGTATAATTGTATGAATACTTTACATTTTACCAAATAAATTACACTAATATAAAAAAAAATCGAATTTTAAATTTTAATTATCGTAAAAACAATGAGTGTCAATTTTTAGAAAGAGAATTACGGGACATGTTCCATAAAATTTGTGATTCCTAGTAGATTTGGTTTTGCTTTTTAGAAAGACAAACAGGTCAGCTTGGTAATGAAGACAGGTGGAATTTATCATTTACTTTGCTCACTTTTCGATTTGCATTATTATGGATCCTTTTCCTGTTTACAATGTCTTATTTTAGTCTTTGATTATCCAATTGGACATCACCCTATTTTCTAAGATTAATTGCATCGCACATTTTTTAAAGGGTTAACTACACAATTTATCACTTATATTTGTATTGTATTCACTTTTTCTCACTAATTTCAAAAAAATAACATATGGTCACTTTCGTTTTTAATTAATTAAGATGTGGTCACCACGGGTTAACCGTCGTTAAATATTTTGTATAATCACACATTTTGTTCATATTATTTACATATTCTCTCAATTTAATCATACTTTTAATAAACTAAAATAAATTTAATCCTCTAATCGAATGATGATATGTGTTACTGGTGCCACGTGGTACTAGTGACAGATGACATCATTCGATTGGAGGATTAAATTTATTTTAGTTTATTAAAAGTATGATTAAATTGAGAGAATATGTACATAACATGGACCAAATGTGTATCAAAATATTTAATGACGATTAACTCGTGGTGACCATGTATTAATTAAATAAAAACGAAAGTGATCATATATTATGTTTTTTGAAACCAATGAGAAAAAATGAATAAAACATAAATATAAGTGATCAACCTTGTAGTCAACTCCTTTTTTTAAATTATAAAAATTATTTATTGTTAGGTAAATACTAATATGTGTTATCCAATAATGTAATGTGATACGAACAACAATTATTTAGCCGGAAATTGTTAATTAGATGTTTCAATTCGTTTAAGTAAAGATTATGTGGTTAAATGTTATTTGAGATCAGATATTTATATTGATTATGTAATGTGTAGATTCGGTCGAAAATAAATGCTGAACAAATTGAAAAAGGAGTTGCTTAGGGCTTAAGTGAGGGAAAAAGGTGAGTGCAACTTACTTATTTTATATATATTTGGAGGACTGCTTGTGATAAGCCAACCTCAAATGTTTTTTAATAAATGATTTGTATTATGTTATAACATATATTTTTATGATTTTATTTATTAAATGATTTCAATATAATTTTTGGGTACGAATTACCCAAACTATTTGTATACGATAATTTGAATAATTCTACATGAAATACTATAAGTATACGACCTATGAGTATATGTTTTATATATGAATAAATGATAATTTGAATAGTGTTATGGTATATGCTATGAGTAAATGTTCTACGTGAGATGAACTATGTGAATATGTGTTAAGAGATGTTAGTTATGTGGAACTATTATACTTGAAAGGTGATCTATGTGAATAAAAGACATCTTGAATAATAAATGTAATCTAATTATATGAAATAAGCCCAAGGTATATGTATGAGAATTAGAGGTATAGTTGACATGTCAAGAGTCGAGGGTTCTATGTGGTCCTTCGGGATAAAACTATGTGGTCATTCGAGAAAAAACTATGTGGTCCTTCGGGACAAAATTATGTGGTCCTTCGAGACAAATATGTGGCACTTCGGTGCAAATTATGTGAGATGTGGTGACAACATTAGTGCACAACTTCAATGTACTCAAATACCTAGAGTTCTCAGTAGTATGCATTGGGCTATTGTTAAAACAAAGTTATATAAACCGAACAAGTTATAAAAATATACATTCTTATTATGAAATAAGAATTTAATCTTTTACGAAATGTTTCTACTAAAAGAATAAGAAATTATTTTATAATGTTTTATCTTACTCGTATTTGCCTCACTAAGTCATATACATAGCGTGTGACTGTTTCACACGTAGGTGCAAAGAGCTTCGAGGAGTAAGTCAATTATGCAAGGGAAGGACAACATACATGTGAAGACTATCAAATCAGTGAAATGCAAATTGTATATGTTTTGTTCTTTGAAATGTTGTTGGCATGTACTATAAATGTTTAAATTGTAGATGCTCTAATATGTTTTAAAAATGTTTTCAATTGTCTAATAAAAGTTAAATTTTAGTCAAATTTTCAGAGAGTCAAAGAGTTGAAAGTCAATGTGACACCTCAGAGTCGTAGCCGGATCGGATACGGGTCGGGAGTGTTACAGGAATTGTAAAATATTCCAAGGGAGACAATGTTCTCTGCTGGGGTTGTTGCCCAAGTGCGAGATGTTGTTCATTGGAGGTTGTCTGGGAAAAACATTAATAGACTAAGTCTGATCAATAGGAGTCTTTGTAACGAGTGGATGGTGGAATAGCTTCGGTTAATGTGAGATTCTGAGTCGTTGGAGTATGGTTTTGGTTTTGGGTGTTATTTATTGGTACCTTGAGCTACTTTGTAGATAAATAAAATTATGCATTTATCAACAACAAAAAATACAACCCACCGGTTATCATTACAGATGAAAAGGAACTGATTCCTTTCTCCCGTTGTGTGTACGCAAAACAATATGGAAATTTCATTTTTATTATATTTTAATCGCATGTTAGACACGTGATAATTTCAGGGGGGTTTTCATTATTTCAATGCTTTGAAGTTGTAAATCTTAGTGTTGACCATGCAGAGAGAGAGAGAGAGTCTGTGCTTAGTTGTAAAGTTTAATAATGGTCCGACAAAGCTTAACATTGTCCGTTGTGTCCCAAGCTCCAAGCTGTTCCAGACGTAGAAGGTACCTCAGATTAAGCTGTACTTCTAATTATTTCATTTTTGATGCTGTGTAAGTGTGTGTATATTATTTAATAATAAAATAAATAATTATTTTAAATCATTTCAAATTATTACATATGGTCGACTGGTTGATAGCAAACAAGCATCGACCCATGCAATCTATCCTCAGTTGTTGGGAAATAAAACACTGATTGTCTCTCAATCCTTCGACAAAGTCAGCTGATCCACAATTGTAAGAAACAGCCTTTGGATGAAATTTTACTAGACAAATATAAATAAGAATAAATTTATGATCCAAATTTAATCATTAAATTATTAATATGTCTGTGCCATTTCTAAAAGTTTATTTATATCAATCTTATTTGAAAAAATTATGTTATTAACAAGCGTGTCTAACTTAAAAAATATTTTTGGATCAACTACTGCGTTACACTGTCTAGATTATCAAGCGAACAAATCAGGAAACAGTAACGTGGTCCAAATCCTCTATGTATATGCATGTTTGGAATATATTCACATCAAAGAGATAGGATGGAAAAGGAAATGAAACACATGAAAAAGCTGTACGTAGGTATTATATAATACCGCCACTAGTAACGAACACAAACTTGAATTATACTCTTAACTAAACCCAAGTTGGATTTAGTTGACTCATTCAACTAACCCCAAGAATCTATTCATTAGATTAAGTAAATTGAAGAATAAAGTGACTTGCTCATGTTTATATTCAACTATTCCAGAACGTGGTACAAATGAAACTATTCCACTTTCCCTTTATGAATTGTTCTCCAATACGTACAATATTTAACTATTATACCCGGATAAGCTATCAAAAATATCAGATTACGAGACAAATTTGTCCAACTTTAAAAACAAAGGACTTATTGACAATTTGACGTTTAAATTATACATGTTTATCGCTTAAAAGGGTTTTTTCTTTAAGAGTTACATGACATGTGATAGATGATACTAAAAATGAAGCCATAACTGTTTTGGGATCGGAATTCAACTATAACTTCTTGTGAGGGTCAAATATGATTTTATCATTGTATTAGTTTATAACTTTAAAATTTTTGAAGAATTAAATTAAAAAATCACTATTTTAGGGTGCATTGGTATTAACTGGTACCGACTATTGACAGACCTTTTAGGATAAACTGAGAAAAAATATAGTTTATCTCTAATAAAAGGAAACTTAGTATCCAACTCCAAAACGAACTATAGCTTAAGGGCAATTTATTAATAAATCCAAAGAAGTAAAAAAATCAACGGGACCAGGATTGACATGTGGCAAAGGTATTGCTCCTCTGTCTTCCTCGTTGCAGTTGCTGAATCGTTTCTACAGAGAGACTGAGAAGACAAAAACAAAAAAAACAATCAATTTGCACTAAAAATGTAAACTTAACTTTTCCTTTAAAAACAAAAGTTTTGGGTAAAGAACTTTGATGATTCGCATAATCTAAATTTCAAACATTAGCTAATGGAAAAGGGATGCCTATTAGGCCATAACACAAAAAAAAAAAAAACAGAACAGAATAAAACAAGGAGAAAGAGAAGTGATTAAGAGTAGAGATAGAGATGGAGATGGAGAAGTGAAGTGTCAACTCAAGAGGAATACATTCCCTGAGGGGCAGAGTCGGCTGCTGAATTTATTTTTGACCAGATTCATAGATATTCATTAGTTTTTCTTTTTCTTTTTGTCCTTCAGGTTTATGGTGTATAAATTCTGGGTTTATTCTTATTTTCATTCAAGTTTTGTTGTTGAATTCTGGTTGTCCTAGTTCAGAAAGAGGAGGAGCAAAATTTATTATCTATCCCAAGTGAGTTTACAATTGTTTTGATCCGAATTCATGAGTTTCTGCTTAAAAGTTATGATCTTGATGATCAGTTGGTTATGTTTGATATCTGCTTTCCTAATACATAGAACATGAACATAAAAGCTCGGTAGATGATTGATAGAAGTTTAAAATTACTGCTTTACCTGTAGATTCTGGGAATTGTTTATGTTTTAATTTTAACTGTGGCATATTATTTCTTATCTTAGTTGCTTGAATGACTTGCTTGAAGAATCAATTTGATGAGGATTCTGAAATCGATGCCGAACCGCCCTGTCCGGTATCATGCAGTGTGCAGAATGTCGAAAGGTATTATTACCAACTCTTTGGCACCACATTCTACCCCTTCTCTTTGTTGTGCCCCTTGCTTTTAATGTATGAATTCTTCTACTTGCAGGCTTAATATGAAGGACTTCTCGAACGGAGATTTCTATGTTGGTGATTTTAAGGAAGTTCTTCCCCATGGAAAGGGGAAGTACACATGGTCAGATGGAACGGTGTATGAGGGTGACTGGATAGGAGGGAAAATGACAGGTAAAGGAGCGTTGCTTTGGCCATCGGGAGAAAAGTACAATGGCGATATATCAGGGGGTTACCTTCATGGTTCTGGCACGCTTACATCGACCGATGGATCCTTATACAAGGGACAATGGAGGATGAATATACAACATGGATATGGAAGAAAGAAGTACTCCAACTCGGATGTTTATGAAGGAGAATGGAAAGAAGGAGAGCCTGAAGGTAATGGTAGATACTTTTGGAACAACGGAAACAAATATACCGGGAATTGGAAACGTGGGAAAATGCATGGTAGAGGTGTTATGGAATGGGGAAACGGTGATCAGTACAATGGCTGTTGGTTAAATGGCTTCAAACATGGCTCCGGGATTTATCAGTATGCAGACGGAGGGTACTATTTCGGAACATGGACCCGAGGCCTTAAAGATGGAAAAGGAGTATTCTATCCTGCTGGAAGTATCTCTCTGGGGTATGATAATGGTCCTAAAAGAGGGTTATCTCAATGTTCTTCACTCAATTTGGAGGAACGTGCGGTCAAGAAACCGAGTGTTAAGCGAAGTTTTTCTGAGAAGATCTCGGTAAGTGGAGCTTTGAGTTCAGGTCGAATATCGCACAAGAATTCTGAGAGTTCTAGTCATTCTGATTCTGCTAAAGAATTTGTACGCCACAATTCCTCGGGCACATTCTCCCTTGGTTCTGATGCTGGTCAGAGTGCGGTGCAAGAAAACGCTGCCGTAGTTTACGAGAGGGAATACATGCAAGGAGTTATGATTAAAGAGAGAGTAAGAGATTACATTGAATTATCACGGAAAGCTGAAAAGAAAACTAAACGACATGCCAAGGAAACAGAAAAGATTCCGTGTGTTGCCATTTTCAAAGGCAAAAACAGCTATCATTTGATGCTTAATTTGCAACTTGGTATAAGGTAAACTGATTGAGATTGTATTTCCTTCCTTTCTTGACAACTCAGCTTAATGGGATATTAAAATGAATGATTTGAAATTCACAGGTATACCGTTGGCAAGATAACACCAGTGCCTAAGCGTGAGGTTCGAATTGCTGATTTTGGAGATCGAGCTAGAATTACTATGTTTTTCCCTAGAAGGGGTTCACATTTTACACCTCCACACAAATCTATTGATTTTTACTGGAAGGATTATTGTCCTATGGTTTTCAGGTATTAAGATCCTAATGCAAATGCTCCGTTTATAATTCTGATAAAGGGATTGTTATTCTGCCTTGTTTAGATTCTAATCATCTGCAAAAACGATGGAATCATGATCTTTTATACTTTTGTGCTTATTTTTTGTACCATGTTAAGGAATCTGAGAGAGATGTTCAAGCTAGATGCAGCAGAGTACATGATGTCCATTTGCGGAGACGATGGTCTAACGGAGATTTCTTCTCCAGGGAAAAGTGGCAGTATCTTCTATCTGTCTCATGATGATAAATTTGTGATCAAGACATTGAAAAAATCTGAACTCAAGGTTTGAACACGTATATCCGATTTCAAACAGGATTTGCCCTATGCTGACAGAAGCTTAAAAGCTAAAAGTTCACTTTTATTCGTGTTTATAATCATGAGGTGTAGCATTAAAAGGTGTTCTCAAATGTTACATAAGTAATCTTCTTCTGCGTAGGTTTTACTGAAGATGCTGCCAAAATATTACAATCATGTGAAAGCCTACGAAAATACACTCATAACAAAATTTTTCGGCGTCCACCAGATAACTTTACCTGGAAGAAGAAAGGTATGTGTTACCGATCTGGCTTTATTTATGCATTGTGCACCTAGCTTATGATTGATTTTCTTCTTCTAGGTACGCTTTGTGGTGATGGGGAATATGTTTTGCACAGAACTCCGGATTCATCGTCGTTATGATCTAAAGGGATCAACTCATGGAAGATGTACCGATAAAGAAAAAATTCATGAAAATACCACATTGAAGGATCTTGATCTATCATATGAGTTTCATATGGACAAATCATTGCAAAAATTCCTTTTTCAGTAAGTTCCTCTTCTTCATCCTCTGTAACATCACTTGCATAATGGTACTATAATTTTCTCATAATTGGCAAATTGAAAATAACATTTGAAGAACTATGTTTTATGTCATCCACTGTACCCTTGTATTTTCTGCTAAACTTCTGGAATTTATCGATGTTTGGATAATAATAGAAGTTTTTTTGCCTACTAAACATCAGTGTTTTTAGAATTCCTTACCTACAAAAACCGAAAACATATTATACCTACTCGAAAGTATATATATGTGTCATGACTATAACTCTTTGTCTACTTGATTTCTGACAGTCAAGTTTTATTTTCTTCGTATTGCAGCCAAATTGCTGTAGACTGTAACTTCTTGAAATCTCAACAGATAATTGATTATAGCCTTCTACTTGGGTTGCATTTTCGAGCTCCTGAGCAACTAAACGGTCTGCTGGAACCTCCTAACATTGAGATCTCACCAGCTGATCAAGGTAGCAGTCGTGTTAAATTTGACCATTTTACTTGAAATTTATGATCTTGTTGTATCCCGATAATGTTTTCATATTATCAAATTCATTAAATATCATGCAACTTTTGTTCTGCTTTTCATTAGGTCTGACCACGGGAGGAGAAGTGTTATTTCCTTCAAAAGGCTTGCTGTTGGTGGCCCACGAACCCAGTTCTGTTAACACCGAACCCGGTCCTCACATCCGAGGAAGGCCGTTAAGGGCTTTCTCTCTCGGTGACAGAGAAGTTGATGTTTTGGTGCCTGGTACTGGAAGGTAGCTTCTTTCATCCCCTTCTTTTTGCACAATTGGACTGAAATATGTCTCCAATGCTATGCTATACTTGTTTTTACATATTTCTTTGTTGAGACTCGTTTTATTTAGTTTCGGAGACCATTTCTTGGTCAGGTTACAAGTACAATTAGGAGTGAACATGCCCGCACAAGCTAACCAAAAGCTTTCCGGGGATAAAGCTGATTCAGCCGAAGTTGAACTTTTCGAGGTTTATGATATGGTCATCTATATGGGAATTATTGACATTTTACAGGAATACAATGTAAAGAAAAAGGCCGAGCATGCATACAAATCAGTGAAATTCGACCCCTTGTCAATATCGGTTGTTGAACCCGAGCTTTATGCTCAACGTTTCATCAATTTCTTACAGAAAAAAGTTTTCCCAGAACAACCCTGAAAAAATAACACTTTTGGGGAATATCTGATGGTAGAGAAATAATCAATCATGCTTATGCATGCATTTTGCTTTCAATAACTGATAATTACATCCTGAAATTGTAAAACTTTAGCAGCAAGAAAGTCTAAAATACAAGATGGTTGCTCCTTTCTTTTGTTGCCTGTTATTTTCTTGCATTGCAAGCCAATCCTTTATTTATTTTCATTACCAACAAATTTTACATTCGATTCAAGTATAATGCTTTGGTCCAGAACCCCAAATGTTCTTCGAGCATTTTTAGTTTTTTACAATTTGAGAATGGAGAAGTTTAATTCTTCTGATGATGCTGCTAATAAGCCAAAAAGGACGTTACCGAAGTTGTCTTGAACCAAGCTGCTGCTGCTGCCAGTGAATTATTAATCCTAGAGTCTACTGAAATTAATATAATCGAAAAGGCTCAACCAACAGTGCTGAAAAGGGGTAAAGGCAGACCTGAAACTGCTAAATCTCAATTTTCAGGATCATCCAACAGATTCGATATTCTCAATTCTGCTGAAGAGACGCCTAAATGTTTAGAAAGCTTGCAAAGAAAACATAGAGCTGCATCTTTGGGAGTTGCAAACTTAGTGAAAGAACTTAAATCAAAAAAGAAGGAACATCTTGATAGAGCTAAAGGTCTTAATGCCGGAGGTCAAGGGGGTTCTTTGGGATCTCCTTCTCAATGATAATTAGCTTCTAGAATATTAGAGGGCTTAACAGTCCTCTAAAACATAATAAAGTGGTACTTCGAGCCACTCAGAATAATGTTGACGTTCTTTGTCTTTTGGAGACTAGAGTTAAGGTGGACAAAGCAGAGACTATTTTCACTTCTAAATTCCAGAACTGGAATTATTGTTCTAACTATGACTTTGCTTATAATGGCAGAATTTGGGTTCTTTGGAGAAAGGGTATTAACCTTTCAATCATTCAAATTACCGATCAATGCATTACCGTTAGAGGATCCCACCTTGGTTTTCCTTTGTTTATCTCGGCAATTTATGGTAGTAATGATGGGATAGCTCGTAGACAGCTCTGACAAAGCTTAAGAGAAGTGGATTCTACTGTTAATAAGTCTCCTTGGGTCATAGGAGGGGACTTTAATATTATCATGCATTCCCATGAAAGTTCCAATCATGAAATCATTGGTCATTATCTCACTTTTGATATGAAAGATTTTCAGGATTTAACTCATGAGCTTGAACTCCATGATCATCCTTATTTTGGTCCTTCTTATACTTGGACTAACAAGCCAATAGAATTTTTCCTTGCAAGGAAACTCGACAGAGTCATGATTAATTCTAATTGGGCTTCGATCTATCAGAATTCTTTTGTTGAGTTTATTGCTCCAGGTGTCTCGGACCATTGCATGTCTTTTACTTAGCTTTCCAAAGAAGTTCCTGCTATAAGGCCAAAGCTTTTTAAATTCTTCAATTTTTGGATTGCTCATCCTTGCTTCTTGAATGAAGTAAGTCAATCCTGGATCCAAGCTGCACATGGTAATCCTATGCAAATTCTCCTTACTAAACTTAAAAGACTCAAAGCTTGTCTTACGAGATTTAAAAGGGAGAATTTTAGCAATCTCTCGGACCGAGTAAAAATGAAAAGAAGCGAGTTGGAACAACAACAAATCCTCACTTTAAAGGGTGAGGAGGCAATCGACAAGGAGCTTTTATTACAAGATGAGTTGAAAACTTTGGAAGATGCAGGAGCTTAGTTTCTTAAGCAAAAGGCAAAAGTGCAGTGGATCAAAGATGGAGATAAAAACTCCAAATTTTTCTATTCGACAATTGCTTTTAAAAACAAGAGAGATACAATTCGTGTTCTTGTCGATGAACAAGGTAATCGATTGGAGTCCTTTGATGCAATGTCGAAAGAAATCATCTCTTTCTATTCTAATTTGATCGGAACAGCAGACAATATGGTGAAAGGAATTGATCCTAACCTTCTTAAAGAATTACTCAATTACTTATTGCCTTCTGAAGTTTCAACAAGCCTTGTTAAAGAAATTACTAGAGAAGAAATTCAGAAAGCGGTTTTTTGTCAAGGCGACGATAAAGCTCCAGGTCCCGATGGATTCACTCCCTACTTCTTCAAGAACTCATGGAATATAGTGGGTGAGGATGTTGTTGCTGCAATCAAATTTTTCTTCCTTAATGCTACAATCCATTCTGCTTTCAACTCTATTATTATTGCTCTTGTTCCAAAAATTTCAAACTCGAGTGCTGTTAAAGACTACCGACCGATCTCCTGTTGTTCTGTTATTTACAGGACCATCACTAAAATCATTGTTAGAAGATTGATTGATTTCCTCCCTGAGATTATTACTTTGAATCAAACGGCTTTCATCAGAGGAAGGAGCATTATTGATAATACCCTTCTTGCTCAGGAGATGGTAAAAGGCTATGGAAGAAAATATATCTCCCCGAGATGCGCTTTGAAATTTGATCTTCATAAAGCTTTTGACTCCATTCATTGGGAATTCATATCACAAATTCTTAAAGCTCTCCAACTTCCTCACGAGTTCATTGCTTGGATCGAAGCTTGTTTCACAGGAGCAAGGTTCTCCATTTCTTTTAATGGAACCTTAAGTGGCTACTTTAAAGGTGCTAGAGGCTTAAGACAGGGAGACCCTCTCTCCCCTTATCTTTATGTTATTGCAATGAATATTTTATCTCGAATGCTTAATTTATCTGACGAAAGAGGAATGTTTGGTTTTCATCCTAAATGCAGGAAAATTGGTCTTACTCATCTTTCCTTTGCTGATGATTTATTGATCTTTTGCAAAGGTAATATGGAATATATTATTGGTGTTCTCACTATTCTTGATCATTTCTACGAAATCTCTGGGCTTAAATTGAATCATTCCAAATGTGAGATTTTGCGGCGGGAATTCCACAAAGAACAATTGAGGATCTAAAACTGATTATTGGATTTCACATCGGAAGTCTTCCTATCCGTTACCTTGGTATTCCTCTTGTCACCCGCAAGCTTACCGAAAAGGATTGTCAAGCTTTAATTGATAACATCAAGCTCAAACTTCATCACTGGACTGGGAGAAATCTCAGTTATGCAGGTAGATTAGAGATAATTAGACCAATCTTATTCAACGTCAGCAACTACTAGAGCAGACAACTCGTTCTGCCAGCTTCAACTCTTAAAAAAGTCGAACAAATCTGGTCAAGGTATTTCTGGAAAGGAGCAGATAAATCTGCCACTGGTGCTCGTGTGAGTTGGGAAATTATTTGTTTCTCCAAATCAGAAGGTGGTCTCGGATTGAAGAACATTAAAACTTGGAATAGAGCTTGTCTCATTAGTCTAATTCAGAAAATATTAGCGGGAGATAGATCACTCTGGGTTGCATGCCTAAAGGCCTACGTTTTCAAGGAGCAGGATTTTTGGCACTTCAGACCTGCTGCAAATGTAAGTTGGAGTACCACCAGAATTTTAAAATTAAGGGCTGCAACTCTTCCAATTATTTCAGTCGGTTCGCCGCACGTCAAGGAAATTTGGGACTTGATTCGACTTAAAGGGCAGAATGTTTCATGGCACAAACTTATCTGGTTCCCATTGCATGTTCCAAAGTTTAGTTTGATAGCTTGGATGGCTTTACTAAACAGATTGCCTACTAGAGATCGTCTTCTTCGAATGAGAATTAGAACTGACAGTTTTTGTGTTAATTGTAGCAACTCAAACGAGACAAGGGACCATCTCTTCTCGCAATGCCCATTAGCAGTGGAACTCTGGTATTCAATTTTGAAACTTAATGGGATGAAGACCACTTACTTGTCAAGGGAAGAAATGGTTTCAAAGGCAAGTTCATTATGGAAAGGGAGGTCTCTACTTACTACCATTCTGAAAATTTCTTGGACTGCTTTTATTTACTCTCTGTGACAGGAAAGAAATCAGAGAATATTTCAAGGACAGCGTAGAACGAGTGATTGTTTACTCAAAGAAGTTAAAGACATTGTTGGAATTCGTCTTAGGGGAACAAATATCAATAGACTAGATAGTACTAACTTAATGCTTTGTAATGTTTGGGGTATAGTCTAACCAATCATTTTGTAGGATGTTTATTTTGATTCTTTTGTTGTAGATTGGTGGATTGGTTGTAACTAAACCTTGATTTGGGTAATAAAATCAGAATTATCCAAAAAAAAATTACTCAGAGACCCAAAAGTAAGCCAAACTGTATCCTTGGGTCCTTTAAAAGGCATTATTTTTACCAATGAGCCACAACCAATCCAGGGCTACCCCTGCGAGTATCCCAGTTACTATACATAATCCTAGTATATTGCCCAAGGCATTTTGCTCAGGCCCCTGCCAAAAAAACACAAAATAATCATTAGAAATTGCTAAGATTTGTAACAAGGTTTCATGTTGCAAATGACCATGTTGAAACTAACCTTGTAACCTCTAGGTGCAGAAATCAATACACAAACTGTAAGGTGACCGTTTACTAATCCCAGGAAGGATACGAGAAATATCATCCATCCCTGGTCGCCATACTTTCCGGTGAAGTAAAAAGCCGATACAAGTAAGAAACAACTGAGTGTTGCAATCATAAGCCATTTCCTCGACTCTATCTTCAGCAATTCCACCAGGGGAAAATATCTTGATATCAGATCCCATGTGTTGAAAACCGCTACCAGCACAAGTGGATACCATGTACCCAGTTTATGTTTTCCGGTGTCTTCGTATAAGAATCCGGGAAAAATTGATAATGTCAAGGCGAATATCAGAAACAGATCGAGCGCATAATCTATGTTCTGATAGAATAATTGTTTGTTGCTTAGCCTCTCAACCTGTTTCACACTATCTTCATGCTGCGAAAATGGGAAAACGATATGAGCAAAGTTGAGACTTTTGACAAGTATTATGCTAGAAGAAGGTTATAATACTCACTGGGTCTGTTTGTGTTTCGATACCGGCTGCTGCGAGATCACCTAATACAGTTTTCAATCCTTCTGAGGCTGCCTTGGCGCGGAAGTACTTCACTACCGGCAATTTGGGGAAGAAATATGTGTACAGAAGGATACAAAGCAACTGAAAGAATGTAGAAATGGCTAGAAATAACACTGCAAAGCCATAGCAAACTCTAAGCATATAAACCACTAAGGTGTTTGTGAAATAGAGAAAGAAAAGTCACATACTTGTGCCTTTACGAACACCATCTTCAGACATTTCAAAGGCTGCTTTTGTGATAAGCCTTAAACCAGAGGTTAAGGTCCCAGCTGCAGCCAAACCGGCAAGGAAGGACTGAATCATAAAGCCAGATAATTGACCATTGAATCAATAGTTGAAACCCCTTGGACAAATAAAGCAGACGAAGTTGAAAACCAACCTGCATAAACACAGGGAGCATGAAAGATAAATCGCCGATCATTCCACCTTGAACTAAGGCATTCGCAGCTCCAAAAACGGCGACGATTGCACATGTACTGACGAAAGAACCAAGTCCTCCTCTTCCAGATGTGGCTACATCCAACTATCAAAGAGATGGTGGAGGAAATGGAGCTTAGTTTGAACCAACACTTGTTGGTTATAGTCAATCAAAATTTTTGGAAGAGAGGAGTTTACTTACTACTATGAGCATGAAAGTACTTGCAAAGTAAAGTAAATATCCAGATATGTTCCTCCACCTAGTATTGATCGTTGATTCGTTGTACGTCAGAATTGTCGTTGCTCCAAATGAAAAGAGTTGATTAACGAGGGGAAGCATCCTTAAAGGATGGTAATTCTTCAATGCAAAGGAAAACGTTATTATATTGACTGTGTTAAAAGATCAAAATATCTGAATTCGACCGCTTTCAATCTGACTCAATCTTACAAGATTAGATATTTTTCAAAATTTTATTTCGTTTTTATGGTTTCATCCCGGCTCTCCCTACGATAGTTCGTATCACCATATACCACATACTTACCGGGAATAGATGATAGTAATAATCTCCCATTGTCAGCACGCTATTCCAAGAGATGAGAGATCCGAACCCAAGAACCCAACAAATCACCATTGCCCTAAACTTTCCCTGATCATTACATGCATTAAATCAGGCTAAACTCCATTGATCTAGCAATGGGAGAAGACAAATCATAAGAGAAAGCACAAACCTCAAGCCTTGAAAGCGACTCTCCTCCATCAACACCCCTCAT